GAAGCTTGTGAGAAATGTGGGTGGTTAAATGCTCGAAGATATAAAGGTATCAGTTTGCCTAAGGCTCTCTTAACGACACCTAACCTTTTCCAGCCTTCCTGTATCTTCTGGCGACTTATAATGAACCCCGAGATAGGGTTGATGATGTCTATTAGTGGTAGAAGATTTTTAACTTGGATGAGGACTCTATAAGCTTTTACGGACCAAAAAAAGTGCTAGCAAAAGCTTACCACGAGAATTAGAATTAAGTCTCTTAGAAGTAAATTAAGCAAAGCTGCAGCACATATATGCGTATACGTGTGCACTATATGTGCGCAGAGTAGTACAGTTTGGTTTACTTTTTAAGGACCCATTAAAAATTTTCCTAGTGAGCTTATCGATGTTTAAAACAAGCATTTGGAAAGCCTTCTGACTCAATATAGTTTACTTGCTTTGAATGTTTGTCAACTAGCCAGTGTGTAATTTCCTCTGAAGTGCTTCCTCATTCGTAAAAACAAAAGTTAGTGATACTATTTTCTTCCACCATAGTTCCGAACGAGTTCTCGGCTTATTTCTTTTCTGTAAGGTAAATTTTTGGCATATCTCTTTTGGCAGGACAATGTTACTGCACCACATTCCTTTCACCAAATTATTACAATGTTTCATTCTTCGTGTCTCCGAGACATCACAGGGATCAGAAGTAGCAATCGCACACAAGCAATCCACCAACCTGCGTAATTCTGACAGCCAGTAGCCAGCCAGGAGGGGATCACCATGGATTCGGATAGAGGGCGGAAAACGTGCATTGCCAACCATCACTCCTAAATTTAGCCATTCTACTCTGTCTCGTTGAGGTAGGTTGGTAGTGGCCTAATAAGGATGTCACGACAATATGCTTTATTGGCTCAATCTCTCACCCACGTCCAGTGATTGTCAAGCGCAATAAATACAATTTGTGAGCACCGGTGTTCACCATCACAATCTGTTTGCCCTTCGAAAAGCTTGCCGCTGCAACTGCAGTGGAAACACTTTTATTGAGATTCTGCTAACCACACTCATAAAATGTCGGATTTGGATACTTGTGATCGCTTCATACCATCCGTTCTCAGGTGAACCTGCATGTATGTTGTATTCTTCATATAGGTCGTCCTTTCCTAGCAAATAGCAAACCAGTGCTAAATCTATCGGTGCCAGGTTGTTGGAACCTGTATGGCACTCATGACAATGGGATTCCAATTGTGTTTAGCGAGACTGCTAGATATATCAATTTGCAGCAAGAGTAAACGGTCTGCTTTTTTGGCTCCCCAACTTTCTCACTTTCTCTCCATGAGTCAACTATTAATCCATTTTGTGAATTGTCTTGCTTACATGTCGTAATAGTCCTTTTTGCCTTGCCTACTTAAACACCAGGCTTTCCAACCAAAGCCTGGGCAGATTGGGAGATCGCTCCATAGGCTGGAGGATGTTCTTAGAAGAGCACATAATGTACTTTAATCGCCTTTTTAGTTGCCGTTTGCCTAAAACCATATAAAAAAAAGGGATTTTATATTCATTGACTTGTACAAATCAGTGTGTTCAGAGGTCACCGATGAACAGCCCGTAAAAAGATAGCAAGAGCTTTCCATACATTCGTATGCTAATTTACGATGTAGATACTGAAGAAAATATTTAAATTAACATATAGCAGAATCAAAATTTCACTCGTACTTTGTTATCTGAATCAAAGACACTAGGGGAAGTTCTCGCATAATGATCAAGGCCATTTCTTTCATCAACCACAAAGGTGAAATGAATTAGTGTACAATGTCCCGGTATTTTAGTAACGAGGTGTTTCAAAGAGTAAAAATTAGGACTTATTTAAGAATAAACCTAAGATACCATGGGATTAAGTTGCAAAGTTGATGGACTTGTTGCCTATGAAAGAAAAAATGGCGGTGCAAGAAGTGAATCATAAAGTAATGAAAGTACATTCATGCCATAGCAATCATTACTTTTAACATGAATCTATTTGATTAGCACAATATGTCTAGAACATCAAACACTAAATTCACTAGAAATTTTAGGGAATGGAAGCAGTTATTTAGAGCTTTTTGTGACGGTAAAATGTCACTACTTCTCTAGGTAAAAATACATACCGTGTTTTTGCATAGAAAATTTGTCTTGGTAGCTTTAAGGTAAAGTATTTATTTTCCTCCAATGAAGTATGAAATTAAAGGCACGTTGTGGATTTGACGAAGACATTAATGGCGTAGAATGTATCACAGTGCTGGACAATGGAGGTGGACAATGAGAACGTATTACTAATCTGATTACAGAATGGCGGTGGTGATAACAGTGGTAAGGAGAGTGGAGGTGCCGGTAGTGAATGAGGTGAGGGATTGGTTTTGGGTGTGAATGGTGGTGGAGGTGGGGGATAGGTGAGATTAGGTGTGCAAAAATTGAAGGGGACTTGGACTTTTATCATAAGCGACAATTAGTTGCATTGCAAAATTTAAATTAAATATTTCGAAGCCTAGTTTATTTTTGTCAAAATTCGCCATGGATCAAATTCAAATACATTTAGTTTTCATCAAAGTGATACTACACAAACCCTGCTCGACCACAGTGATTTAACCAAATACAGGTGCGCAGTCGTTTACGTTTTTTTATTTTCCGATGGGCGGACATTTTGTATATTCAATGGGGAGTTGCACAAATACAAAA